CCCATCATTCACTATCCCATTATCTTTTATGCACCCCACCCCCCCATACACACCATACTTAACAAAGCCCCCTGGTGTTTGGTGAGCACAGCCATTACTGCCCCTGGGGCTTTAGAACTAGGGTGCCAGTCCAGCTCCACTGACCTGGAACCCCAAAGTGGGGGTGGGTGAGCATAAAGGGCAAGGGGGCGGTTCTGAAGACTGAGGCTGGGGAACGGCTGGGTGGGCTCGGATAGCGCTGGGAGGCGGGGTCACTATACTGTTCAGGGAAACGCCACTGCAATAGTCATTAGAGAATGTCTCTGTGAGAACTCGGGACAGGGGGGCCCATAGCCGCGCCTCCAGGGAAATTAAAGCAGGAGGGGTCACTGGGGGTCAGGGAGAGAATCAGAGTGCGGTCTGGGCATTTTAACGCGGGAAGACTGTTTGGTGTGTGGTGTGCATGTGCATGCACACTGGGGTGGGGGGAGGGGCGGTGTGCCAGAGTGCTCACACCTTAGTGTGGAATGAGATCTCCCCTTGGTCAGATTCCAGACTGTAGGTCCCTGCTGGTAGCTCCCAGCTCCACCTCTCCCCGTTAGAGGCAGGACCGAGATGTCTGATCAGCCCCTCCCCCATCTAGGCCTGGTTGCCTCTGCCTACAGCCTGGCGCTCAACCCTCCGGGTACTTTCTTAGAAGGGCTGGCCCGGGCAGGCCGGTACACGTTTACCGCAGGTGAGTACCCCCGCTCCCCCACGCCTAACCCCCCAACTCCATCCAGCCTCCTCTCTGGTTGGGGGGGGGCTCTTGGTCTGGCCCCCATCACTGCCCCCTAGCTCCTGGGGCAAGGCCACACAGTCTCCCAGGCCCTGCCCCCAGCTCCCAGCTGCTGTCCGCAGCCTTGAGTCCCTGGGGGAGAGAACTCCAGGAGGATCACCTCTGAGATGGGCAGGATGCATCTGTGGGGGTCCGTCCAGGAGCGCCTCCCCGCCGTGGTCCTGGCACCCACCCTGCCCATTCTGCCCCACAGCCGCCATTGGCGCCATGTTCGGCCTGTCCTCCTGCATCACTGCCCAGGTCCGGGATGAGCCAGACGACCCCCTGAACTACTTCATCGGAGGCTGTGCTGGAGGCCTGACCCTGGGGGCACGCAGTGAGTGAATCCCCCACCCCATACCCAGGGCTAATGGAGTGGGAGAGCAGAGAGGTGCAAGGGGTGTCGGTTCACAAAGCACATAGCCCTTCACCTCGGTACCACCCAGTAGTCACCCATCCTCACCCCTTCCCTGCCCCACAAGCCCCCAGTGCACTCAGCGTGGCCCTGCCCCATCAGCCCCTCACTCCACACCAGCCAGACAGGCTGCTGCCCTTTGTACCTCCGACCTGCTGCCCCTGCCCCACCCCCCCAAGCCCTTTGCATGGGCTCTGCCCTCTGCCTGGAGTACCCTGCCCAGATGTGTGCACTACCCCCTCCCTCCCTGTCCCCACCACCCTGTGTACAACTTTGTACCCTGCTGCCATGCTCACCTGCACCCCCTGCCCTACCTACCACAACCTTTTAACTCCCCACCCTCCACACCCTGAACCTGCAGGGACCTCCCCAGACAGGCACAGGACTGAGGTACCCTGTACAAGGACATCTTGCCTCCTACCGCCAGCAGTGGCCCCAGACCCCTGGTCTGTGCTTGCCTACGCCCCCTCTCCCTGGCCTGCCCAGACTCACGTCCATGTCCTTGCCCCCAGTGGACAAGTGGAGCTGACAGGCCAGCTGCTGTGATGGTAATGGAAACTTCCAGCAGTAGGCTGAAAGGCCCCTAGGCTGGAACCTAGACTGCCCCTTCGAGGGCCTGCCATCCACCGCTCACCAGAGCTGTGGAGTGGGCACCTAGCCTCGCCTCCCAAGCTGACCATGGATCTTCCTCCGAGTCCCCGCCTCACCCTGTGTCCTCACCCAGCCCGAGGTACTCTGTTCTCAGCTCGCAGAGTGCCGTCTGCTCTGAGTGCCTGGCACTGCTGCCTGGCACCCAGCCCAGCCTTGGCCTTTCTCGGAC